TTGTATTAAACACTACTTTGTGAGCTAACGAGGGTCTGTTTAAATAACATGTGCCGCATTTCCTCTTAATTTACAATTACTGATAATGATTTGGCATTATGCGGGCAAGCTTTTTGATGCGGTAGACTAAGTTGATTATTTCTCGCAATGGGTTTATCCGCCATTCTGCTATGTCTGTGCATATTGCGCACTTTGAATCTATATTACCTACTCCTGCCTTATTCTATCTGTTTTGCTGCGCCATCTGCCCGGCTTCGAATAGTGTACGTAAATTTACCTCCAGTGGTGCCTTGTTATTCGCATTTCTCTACTATAATTCATCGCCTCTCTCTCTCTACTGTGAGTGGAAGCGTCTCGTTCATTTCGCTGTTAGTTAAATATTTCGCCTTTAGATTGGTTTTCCCCTTCTTTTCTGCGTTATGGCAGGATATCTCTTCGTTCGTTTCCGTTCTTGTTGGCGGTCCGTCGTTCGTCGTCGTTCCGTTGTGTCGTTCGTTCTTCGGGTCGTCGTCGTCTGTCTTCGTCCGTCGTTTGGCGTGTCGTGTCGTCGTCGTCGTCGTCGTTCTGTCGTCAGTCGTCCGCTGTGCGGCGGCGGCGTGTCAGCCTGCGGTCGTCGTCGCGCGTTCGCTGGCTATCAGCTTTGATTCGACCTGCGTGTATCGTCGTTCGTCGCCCTGCGTTGAAGCTGGTCGCTGCGCACCTCCGCGGGAGCAGTGGAGTACATTATGTTGCGTTTCTTTATTCAGCGGCGCACGAGTATTTAAAGAATTTTCAGTAGTGGGCGTATTCGTGACGCAGTGATTAGATTCAGCGTGTGCCTTTTTCGCCGTGTCGCCTGCCTGCGTAGTTCGTCTGTGTAGTCGAGGCATGACGGTATTGTGCGATTACTAGTATATACGTCTGTGTATCTTATCGGGCCACACTCAATATATAATATATTGTGGTACCTGCGTTTTAAGGCGTTGAGTCATATGAGACATAGGGAATTTCGGCACACTAGTACAATGTACCAATGTTCGGAGATCCGCGCCGCGGGTAAATAGTTGTTTTTTCGGTCCTCCCACTTTGAGTTTCCGGACCTACAGGCATCATGCGCACGATCGCATTCACTCGACTTCTCGAAGGGCAAGCAATGTGAAATGAATGACCTCCTAACCCTAACTCTAAACTATACATCGGCAACCATATTACTATAAGAACGATTTATTAACAAAACACTGATCTATTGGTGGGTCGCGGAAACTCAAGTGGGGAAAAGAAAATTTCGCCTCGCCGCGGGATGGCCCAGAGTATTATTAGCTAAGATGCATGTAGGAGCATACATAATGCAGCGTGCGACAAGAATACATTTTAGGTAATGGTACGTTAACCAGCATTAACTTTCAACACAGAAATGTGATGCGGTTTTATCAAACGGCCTATTCATTAGGCAAGCGCCGAACGTCCACGGTGGTCGACGATCCTACTCGCTGGTACCATCGACATTATAGTCGCGGTACCGGTCATCTGCTACTCCATTACCCCGCGTCATAATTAATTTTAAAGTCTCAATTAATGTCACGGGACGGGCGTTGGGAGTGCTGTTACGGTTTTAAAAAGCGTCGGGGTGTTTTGGTAGAATAAACGGAGTCAGACGAGCGTCAAACGCTGTCTATAACCGGCACGAGTGTATTGCACTGCTTTTATACGTCGTTCGTTTGTATATAAAACCTGGTAATTTGTTTTACCGTTTTTTTACATTAGCTGTTTTGTCCCTATCTGTCTACGTTCGAGATATATTCCTAATCATCCTTACATATGATATATTATTATATTAGTGTGTCAGTGTACTATGTACTAATATATCGTGTATTGTGATATTGTGTTATACGTATACTGTATTATGTATTATCAGGAAGTTTAATTCATATGGTGAATTTTAAAAATAAAATTTTCATTTCTTATAATTTAATTTGTCATTTATTTCACTCCTGATTGTTTATATTGTATTATGCTTATTGTATTGTATTGTATTGTATTGTATTGTATTGTATTGTAGTGTAGAATATATCTCGAACGTAGACAGTAGGACGTAACAGTTGTATAAACGGTAACAATTACAGTTTTATTACAAACACGGATAAAAACAGTGTACACGTGCCGGTTAGAGGTTGCAGTCGTCTCCTCCGTTTCTACCAAAACCCGACCTTTCTAAGCCGTCAGCATCCCCGCCGCGACATTTTTAGACTTAAATTAATTTATGACGCGGGTAATGGATACAATGACCGGTCGCGACTATAATGTCCGATGGTACCAGGTAGGATCGTCGACCACAGTTGACGTTGCCTGCCTAATGATGGCCGTTTGATAAACCGCGTCACATTCTTGTTAAAGTTAATGTGTTCGTACCATTCTAAAATGTATTCAGTCCACGCTGAATTATGTATGCTCCTAATGATGTAGCTAATGTACTCTGGGTCCATCGCCGGGCGACGAAATTTCTTTTCCCACTTGAGTTCCGGACCCACCATAGATAGTGTTTTGTAATAAATGATTCTTATATATATGGTTGGATTAGAGTCAGTTTTAGGGTTAGGGTTAGGGTTAGGAGGTATTCATTTTACATTGTTGCTTCGAGGAAGTCGAGTGAATGGAGTGCGCTGATTGGCTGTGGTCTGGAACTCAAGTTGGAAAATTTTTTTTACCGCCGGGCGGGTCTCCGAACATTTGTACATTGTACTAGTGTGCCAAATTCCCTATGTCTCTATCTCAACGCTAAAACGCGGTACCACATATATATATATGTGTGTGGCGATAGATACACAGACGTATATACTAGTATCGCACATCGTCTGCCTCGCTACACAGACGCTACGCAGCAGGCGACACGGCGAAGCCACGCTAATCTAATCCCGCTCACGAATCGCACTCTGAATTTTAATACGCGCGCTGATAAGAAACGCAACTAATGTTCCACTGCCGCTGCCGCCGACAGTTCACGCGGGCGACGAC